ACTAATTACAGTAGTCCTCTTAACATTTCTTGCAGTGCTGGTTTGGTGCTAATGTATTCCCTTAGCCTTTTTTTGTCTGGGAAGCTCTTTATTTGACCTTCTATTTTGAATGATAGCCTTGCTGGGTAGAGTAGTCTTGGATTCAGATCCTTCTTTTTCATGACATTGATTACTTTGTGTCATTCCCTTCTGGCCTGTAGTGTTTCTGTTCAGTAGTCAGCTGAGAGCCTTATGGGGTTTCCTTTGTAGGTAACCTGTTGCTTATCTCTTGCTGCCTTTAGGGTTCTCTCTTTGTCTTTAATTTTTGGCATTTTAATTACTATGTGTCTTGGTGTGGGCCTGTTAGGGTTCTTCTTACTTGGGGCTCTCTTTGCTTCTTGAACTTGAATGCCTTCTTCCTTCACCAAATTAGGGAAGTTTTCTGTCACTATTGCTTTGAATATATTCTCTAACCGTTGCGAATATTATTACGTTTCCAGTTGTCCCACAGTTCTCTTAAGCAGTCTTTCTGTTTTTGAATCATTTTTTTTCTTTTGGTTTTCTGATTGGTTGATTTTTTTCTACCCTGTCTTCTAACTCAGTGATCTGGTCCTCAGCTTCCTCTACTCTGATATTTAGACCTTCCAATGTGTTTTTCATTTCTGATATGTCATTTTTGATCTCTTCTTGGTGGTTTTTAATTTCCAATTGGTTAATTTTCAGCATCTCTATGTCCTTACTCATGCTGTTGAGCTTCCTCAAGATCATGGCTCTGAATTCTAGCTCTGTTAACTTGCCTAACTGCTTCACATTGATCTCATCTTCGGTGGAGGTCTCTTGTTCTTTCATTTGGCTTTTGTTTCTGTGTTTCACCATTTTGGCTATCACAGTGGGCTTTGGAGCCTGTCAAGTTTTCCCTGTGGGTATTGGTGTTCTGCTGTTTGTGGCTACCTCTCCTGGGTTTAGATGAGCGAGGGAGGACCCACATTAAACACCACTGTCAAGTCTTGCTTTCCTGATTAAAGTTGCTAGCCCAGGAAAGGTACTGTTATCCTCTAGCTTTTTGCCTGGAGGCTAGCAGTCGAGGTTACTTGAAGAGGTTTGGGTTGTCAGGTGATTGAAAAACTCCCTCAGGTGCTCAGCATAAGGAGATTTCCCGAGGGTGGGGCAGATGCTGGTTGTTAATGAGCCTCAATTAGCATTTCAATGAACCACAGGTGGGGGTGGATCTCTGAGGGAGGGGCTGCTCCCTCTCCCCAGAGCCCTGGGAAGGAGCAAGATGGCCACTGTCCTGCGTGGCAGCAACTCAGCAAAAGCTCTGAGTGCCCTCCAAATCCCGAGTGTCCCCACACAGTTACAGTCCAGTCTGCCTTCCCTCTGCCGGAGCCTAAGGTGAGTTGCTGTGGCTATTTTAGCCTCTGTCCCAGCCCTTTGCGCTGTGGAGCCTCTTGGGAGTTTAACCCGAGGGCGCTGTTCCCAGCTAAGGCTGCTGCTGTCTGTGGGCTCCCAGCCCCCGTTTTGCACCTCCACAATCCTACCAGGATCGAGTCAGTGTCCCTGGTTATATGGTCCTCGCAAGCTGATTTTCTGTTGCTTTTTCCCGTCGATTTGTCTGTGTTATAATTGTAATTCCAGTTTGGTTCTGGGAGTCAGTGTGTGTAGCTTTGGTTCACTCCGCCGCCATTTTGGAATCCTCAAAAAACATGTTGTTTTTATAGAACTATAAATACCGGCCTGTAATTTTTTTTTATCTGTATTGTTGAATGTGTTACAGATGTTCCTTATTTTTCCCCTATTGATCCCCTGCTCCCCACTCCTGCCCCCCCTCCTGCCTTTCCCCACACTGTCTGTCTCCTTTGGTTATGCATATATACATAAACGTTCTTTCGTTTATGTCTTCCCACCCCACCCTCCCTTCCCTTTGAGGTTTGTCTGTCTAACAACCAGTTTGTACTTTTTTTTTTTGGTATGTGCCCCTAGTGGGAACCGAACCCGGGACTCTCTGGTCTAAGGCTGACACTCCAACTGCTGAGCCAAACTGGCCAGGGCCTATCTGTACTTCTTAATTCCTTCACCTTTTTCACCCATTCCCCCTACCCCTCTCCCATCTGGCAACCAACAAAATGTTCTCTGTATCTATGAGAATGTATCTGTCCTGCTGTTCATTTTGTTTGTAGATTCAATTGTCGATAGATATGTATTCACTGCCATTTTATTTGTTCATATTTTTTATCTTTTTCTTCAAGAAGACCTTTCAACATTTCATATAATAATGGTTTGGTAGTGATGAACTCTTTTAGCTTTTCCTTGTCTGGGAAACTCTTTATGTATGCCCATCGATTCTAAATGACAGCTTTGCAGGATAGAGTAATCTTGGTTGTAGGTTCTTGCTTTTCATCACTCTGAATATTTCTTGCCACTCCCTCTGGCCTGCAAAGTTTCTTTTGAGAAATCAGCTGACAGTCTTATGGGAACTCCCTTGTAGGTAACTGACTGCTTTTCTCTTGCTGCTTTTAAGATTCTCTCTTTGTCTTGAACCTTTTGCATTTTGATGATGATGTGTCTTGGTGTGGGCCTCTTGGGGTTCATCTTGTTTGGGACTCTCTGTGCTTCCTGGACTTGTATGTCTGTTTCCTTCACCAAGTTAGGGAAGTTTTCTGTCATTATTTTTCAAATAGGTTTTTGATTTCTGGTTCTCTCTCTTCTCTTTCTGGCACCCCCAAGATGCAGGTGTTGGCATGCTTGAAGTTGTCCCAAAGGCTCCTCACACTATCCTCATTTTTTTGGATTCTTTTTTCTTTTTTCTATTCTGATTGGGTGTGTTTTGCTTCCTTATATTCCAAATCGATAGTTTGCTTCTTGGCTTTACCTACTCTACTATTGAATCTGTAAATTATTCTTTATTTCAGTTAGTGCCGCTTTCATTTCTGACTGTGCATCCTTCATTTCTGACTGCTCAGTTTTTATGCTCTTGAAGTCCTCACTAAGTTCATTGAGGTTCTAACTAAGTTCATTGAGCATCCTTATAAGCATCCTTATAAGCAGTGTTTTGAACTCTGCATCTGTTAGGTTGCTTATCTCCATTTTGCTTAGTTCTTTTCCTGTGGCTTTGTTTTGTTCTTTCATTTGGGACCTGTTTCTTTGTCTCCTCATTTTGGCTGCCTCCCTGTGTTTGTTTCTATGTTATTACTTAATGAGAGATATGGGACTAGCTGAGTCCAGATGCTTCTTGTTTGAAAGAATTTAGGAAAACCTGAAGCAGGATCGAAACAGGTCAATCCTGGGGTAAAGCAACTGGCAATAGCAGGGCCTCAGGGAATCACCAGGGCCGGGAAAACAGTATGAGCTAGGTTGCTGGAGTCTCAGATATGGCGGCATCTGCCACCCCCGGGAAGGGCTCACTAAAGGAACAAAGGCCTCTGATAGCAAGCACGTCTGTCCAGGAGAAAGCCGCTTCTCCAGCCCTCGCTCCAATGCCAAACAGCTCAGTTCTTCCCCATATGTCTCTGGTGCCTTTCAAGCGGCCTTCCCCACTCTGGAACCTGGAGGGTGTGAATGTGAATAAGTCCGTGCTCGGGCCCTTTAAGAGGAGCCACCTGGGACTCCAGCCACCTCAGCCTCAGTTCCCGCTGGTTTTTCCAGTCAGAAGTTATGGTGATTCTCTTCTTGGCACTGGAACCCTGAGCTGGGCGCCTGGTGTGGGACGGGGACACCTCAGTCCTCAGGGAGGACCTTCCAACCAAGGTGTCCCTACTGATTTTTATCTGCCACACATGGGTGAGGGCCAGCCCATCCACCTCTGCCCCTCCTACCAGTTTCAACGTGGCTGCTGCTTTAATTCCGTAGTTGTTGGACTTACACTCAGCTTGATTTCAGGTGGTTTTGAATGATGGTTGTTCTGTTTAGTTGTAACTTTGATGTGGTTGTGGGAGGACTCGATACCGCATTTACCTACGCCACCATCTTGACCGGAAGTCCTGTAATTTTGAACTGACATAATAATAAAGTGTATATTTACATATGACTCCCACATTTAATAAGTGTTGAGATACCCCCACCCCCAATTTATGGTCTATAAAATGGGATATTGACTCCTTTATTCAATCTGAAGGCTTCATGATAAGGTTTTGGTTATATGTGGTCTTGGTAAAGTTTAAGTTTGAAGCTGACCTCAAGTAGAAACTTGTAAATAAATATTCAGACCAAAGAAAATAGGTAAAAACGGTTGAGAGCTATGAGTATAGTTGGGAAATTTCTGAGCCTCTCTTATGGCTCATTATATAAGGGTATGCTTGTATACATGCATGCATGAATGCACATAGTTAGCAAAAGGGCCAGAAGCAGGAATTTTTTATTTGGAGTTGGGAAAGTGATACAAAGTACTGCAGGGTGGGCTTTACTGTTTTTAGCTATCACAGCAAGCCATAGGGGCAGCCCACATTTACCATAATAAATCAACTCAGTTTTTAGGTTTTGGCTAACATTTTCTGTGGAAATATTAAAGTCAATGAAAAAGTGGAATTCACTTAACAGAAATATACTTACATTCAACTTAGAATGCCTCTGTTTAGGATTATAATATACCTAATACTGAGAATAAATGTTATTCAGCATTTTATAATCAACAATAATTGCCATTGCATACATGTTTAAATGATAATCTCATTTTGCCATATATATATAGTCTAGTCTCCTATTTGTGAGTTATGATTGGTTTATGGATTATCTTACAAAGTAGCTGTGTATCTGGGAGAAATACAAATAAATGTCTATAAAGGTCTCTTTTTTTTTTCTTAATGCTTTTTATTTTCACATCACATAAACGAACCTTTAGTCCTGAATGATGTATCATACTCTAGAAAATAAAATAGAGCATACTTTATATACTTCATCAACTTAAATAGCAGCATTCAGTATTCAAAACCAAATTTAGGATTAACAGGCTTGACAGTGTAGCAGTTGTCATTATATACCTTTTTATATAAAGGAACTTCCTAATTCAATTGTTCTTTCTTTTTCAGATCTTTTTGTTTTGTCTCTGATTATTTTGTATGTTTTCATATTATTCATCATGTTGCATCCAGTTGCCTCTATTGACCAGGTTCTTCAGGTAAGGCTTAATTTAAGCACATCATTTATTACTGGTTGTCTGAGGAGTGATAGTATCTGGGACTGTAACAGAAAATGACATATTAGTATTACATGAAATTTACACAGCCAAATGAGACTTCTCATGACTTAAAATTTACCCCTCTACTTTTTTGTTACTTGGGAAAGAGAGTGAACTGTCTACATTTATTTTTTTCAGTATCCCTAAGATAGTTATATTAACCCAAAGATACTCTATAAAGAATAAAAACATAATTAAACCAGCAGTTTACATTGACTCTACTTGCAATTTTTTCCCCCTGTTTCTTCAGTTTGCTTTTGATTCCATTTCCTGTATTTCTATAAACAAATGTCCTTTGGTCTTTAAAAATAAAGAAAACTTTGATTTTGTTATTTATCTGTCCCTTACCAACATACTTCTTGAGTATTCTGCACACATTGCCACTTCTTCACTGTCCATTGAATTCTCCATACTTTTGTTCATTAAAAACTTTATGAATGATGAAATACTTGTTTTATACAAAAGAATATGCACACATATTTAATTTGTTAAGCATAGTAGTAACACAATAACATTCATGAGTCCATTATCAAACCTAAAAAAGGTAGCATTACCAACACCAGTGAGGCACTATGGTGTGCCTTTGTCCAAACACCCTGAGAGAACCACTATTCTAATTTTTTACCTCATTGTCTTGCTTTCATTATATACTTGTCATGTAGTATGAAGTCATAAAAGATAGTTTGTTTTTGAACTTTATGAAAATGGTATCTTGCTGTCTATTTTTCTATGACTTGTTTTTTACAATCAGTGTTATTTCTCATCCATGCTGATACATGCTTTTCATTTTCACTGCTATGTAGTGTTCCACTATAGGATTATACTGTAATTCATTTTTCCATTCTTTGTTAGTATAAATTGAGTTGTTTATTTTCCTGTATTAACAGACTGTTATGAACATTCTTGCACTCTTAGTGTATAGGAAGTAGAAAAATGCTGAACCAAAGAGTGGGGATGGGGTGGTACATCCCAGGAACAAATAAGAGGGTGGTGTATTGCTGTAGAGAATTGAAATAACAGCAGTTAAGCCCACTAAAAGTCCATCTTTTAAAATATCACCATGTGCTGGGAATTTTAAACAATGTCCGTGATAAAATACTACTTCCACTACCATCCACTCTACCTTGCTATACCATGGGATTCCTCTCATTTATTCCAGTATAAATTTGAGCATGTACACTTCAACTTTCAAATGTGCCAAGTCATTTTCCAAAGCATCTAGTGTATGTTAAATGTTATGTCATCATGATTTTAATTTGCAAATTATTAATTTTAAATTGCCATTGGGGTTGAGCTTTCTCATATTTCTTTTTAGCAACTTTAATTTCTTTGTGAATTGCCTATTCATGCTGCTTTTTGCCCATTTTTTTCTTTTTTGAAAATTTTTATTAATTTGTTACAGATCATTCTCCTTTTTTCCCCATTGACATCCTCCTCCCCATCCCCCCCACCCTATCCCCAGCTTTGCTGTCCAAGTCCATCGGTTATGCGTATATGCATATAAGTTCTGTGGTTTATCTCTTCCCTCCTCCCCTACCCTCTCTACCGACGGTTGTCAGTCTGTACCCTACTTCCATGTCTCTGGGTCTACCCTGTTCCTCAGATTATTATGTTCATTATATTCCACAAATAAGTGAGATCATGTGATATTTGTCTTTTTTTGCTTGGCTTGTTTTGCTTAGGATAATACTCTACAGGTCCCTCCATGTTGTCTCAAAGGATAAGAGATCTTTCTTTCTGATAGCTGCACAGTACTCCATTGTATATATGTACCACAGCTTTTTTATCCATTCATCTACTGATGGACACTTGGGCTGTTTCCAGATCTTAGCTATTGTAAATAGTGCTGCTAAGGACATGGGGGTACATATATTCTTTCTGACTGATGTTTCAGGCTTCCTAGGGTATATTTCTAAAAGTGGGATCACTGGGTCAAATGGCAATTCAATTTTTAATTTTTGAGGTAACACCATAGTGTTTTCCATAGTAGCTGCACCAGTCTGCATTCCCACCAGCAGTGCACAAGAGTCCCCTTTTCGCCATACCCTCGCCAGCTCTTGCTGTTTGGTAATATGTTGATGGCGGCCATCTGACAACTCATTGTTGTTTTAATTTGCATCTCTCTGATGATTAGTGATGTTGAACATTTCTTCATATGTCTCTTGGCCATTTGTATGTCCTCTTTGGAGAGGTGTCTGTTCAGCTCCTCTGCCCATTTTTTAATTGGGTTCTTTCTTTTCCTTTTGTTGAATTGTATGAGTACTCTATATATTTTTGAAATTAACCCCTTATCTAATGTATCATTGGCAGTTATGCTCTCCAATACAGTGGGTTCCCTTTCCATTTTGATGGTTGTTTCTTTTGCTGTGCAGAAGCTTTTGAGTTTGATGTTGTCCCATGTGTTCATTTTCTCATTTGCTTCTGTTGCCTTAGGTGATGTATCAGTGAAAATTCTGTTGGTTATGATGTCTGAAATTTTGTTGCCTACATTTTCTTCTAGGATTTTTATGGACTCACGAGTCACATTTAAGTCTTTTATTCATTTTGAGTTTATTCTTGTGTATGGTGTAAGTTGATGGTCTAGTTTCATTTTTTTTGCATGTAGCTGTCCAATTTTCCCAACACCATTTATTAAAGAGGCTGTCTTTACTTAATTGTATGCCCTTGCCACCTTTGTCAAATATTAATTGAGCATAATGTCTTGGGTCAACTTCTGGGTTCTCTGTTCTGTTCCACTGGTCTATATGCCTTTTCTTGGGCCAGTACCAGGCTGTTTTGATTACAGTAGCCTAATAGTATACCCTGATATCCAGTATTGTTTGTGAACCCATCTACTTTGTCCTTCTTTTTCCAAATTGCTGTGGCTATTCGGTGTCTTTTTGGTTCCAAATAAACCTTTGAAGTATTTGTTCTAGTTCCATGAAATATGTTGTTAGTATTTTGATGGGGATAGCATTGAATCTATAGATTGCTTTGGGTAGTATGGACATTTTAATGATGTTAATTCTTCCAATCCATGAACAAGGTATGTGCTTCCACTTTTTCATGTCTTCCTCTATTTCTTTTTTCAATGTCCTGTAGTTTTCTGCAAATAGGTCCTTTACTTCTTTAGTTAAGTTTATTCCTAGGTATCTTAATTTTTTGCCACGATGGTAAATGAGATTGTATTTTCAGTTTCTCTTTCTGTGAGTTCATCATCGGTGTATAAGAATGCTATCAATTTCTTGACATTAATTTTGTGTAGCAGTAGTACGTTGCCAAATTTGTTTAAGTCTAGTAGATTTTTGATGGAGTCTTTACGGTTTTCTAGGTATAATATCATGTCATCTGTGAATAATGACAGTTTTGCTTCCTCCTTTCCAATTTGGATCACTTATTTTTTTTTCATGTCTGATTTCTGTGGCTAAAACTTCCAGTACTATGTTAAATAAGAGTGGTGAAAGTGGACATCCCTGTCTTGTTCCTGTTCTAAGGGAACTGCTTCTAGTTTCTTCCCATTGAGTATGATGTTGGCTGTAAGTCTTTCATATATGTCCTTTATTATGTCGAGATATGACATCTCTATTCCCACATTGCTGAGCGTTTTTATCAGAAATGGGTGCTGGATTTTGTTGAATGCTTTTTTGGGGTCTATTGATATGATCATGTGGTTTTTATCTTTCATTTTGTTTATGTGGTGTATCACATTTATTGATTTGTGAATATTGTACCAGCCTTGCATCCCTGGGATGAATCCCACTTGGTCATGGTGAAAATTTTTTTGATGTATTGCTGGATCTGACTTGCTAGTATTTTGTTCAGGATTTTGGCATCTATGTTCATCAGAGATATTGGCCTGTAGTTTCCTTTCTTTGTAGTGTCTTTTTCTGGTTTTGGAATTCGAATTATGCTGGCCTCATAAAACGAATTTGGAAGTCTTCCTTCTTCTTGAATTTTTTTGAAATAGTTTGAGGAGAATGGGTGTTAGTTCCTCTTTGAATGTTCGATAAAACTCCCCTGTGAAGCCATCCGGGCCTGGGCTTTTGTGTGCTGGGAGAGTTTGATTACATCTTGAATTTCCTTAGTTGTTATTGTTCTGTTCAAGTTTTCTGTCTTTTCCTGTTCCAGTTTTGGGAAACTGTGTGTTTCTAGAAATTTGTCCACTTGGCTTAGATTGTCAAATTTGTTGCCTTATAATTGTTCATAGTAGTTGTTAACGATCCTGTGTATTTCTGTGGTGTCAGTTGTTACTTCTCCTCTTTCACTTCTGATTTTATGGATTTGGGTTCTCTCTCTTTGTTTCTTGGTGAGTCTAGCTAAGGATCCATCGATCTTGTTTATCTTTTCGAAAAACCAGCTTTTTGTTTCATTGATCCTTTGAATTGTTTTTTTTGGTTTCTATGTCATTTATTTCTGTTTTGATCTTTACTAGTTCCTTCCTTCTACTTGCTGTGGGGTTTTCTTTTTGTTTGTTTTCTAGTTCTTTAAGTTGTGAGGTTAGACAGTCAATTAGAAATTTTTCTTGTTTCTTGAGGTAGGCCTGTAGTGCTATGAACTTCCCTCAGAACTACATTAGCTGCATCCCATAGATTTTGTGTTGTGTGTTCATTTTCATTGGTTTCCAGGAAGTTTCAAATCTCTTTCTTGATCTTCTCAGTAACCTATTTATTGTTCAATAACATGCTATATAGCCTCCATGTGTTTAAATGTCTTTGTGTGTTCTTGTTGTAATTGATTTCTAGTTTCATGCCATTGTGATCTGAGGAGATGCTTGATATGATTTCAGTGTTCTTGAACTTGTAGAGACTTAGTTTGTGTCCTAACATGTGGTCTGTCTTTGAGAATGTCTCAGGTGCACTTGAGAAGAATGTGAATTCTGTAGGTTTGGGGTGTAATTCTCTAGATATCTATTAAATCCATTTGGTCTAGTACTTCATGTAGAGTCTCTGTTTCCTTGTTAA